GCTTTCATGTCTTGGCTAATCTCACCAAGATTTTGATTCTAATTCCTTTAGATATATAACCAGAAGAAGAATTACTGGATCATATGGTAGTTCTATTTTCAATTTATTGAGGAGCCTTCATCCTGTTTTCCATAGTGACTGCACCAATTTACATTCTCATCCATATCGTACAGGGTTACCTTTTCTCCACATCTTTGCCAACACTCATTATCCCTTGACTTTCTGGTAATAGTCATTCTAACAGGTGTGAGAGGTGATAGCTCACTGTGCCTTTGATTTGCATTTCCCAGAAAATTAGTGATGCTGAGCACCTTTTCATGCATCTGTTGGTTATTTGTACGTCTTCTTTGGAGAAATATCTGTTTAGGTCCTTTGCCCATGGGTAAATCTGTTTGTATGTTTGTTTATTGTTATTGAGTTGTATGAATTCCTTATATATTTTGCATACTAACCCCTTATCAGATATATAGTTTGCAAATATTTGCTCCCATCCCATAGGTTGTCTTTTCATTTTGTTCATTATTTCCTTTGCTTTGGATTTTAGTTTGATGCAATCCCCATTATTTCCTTTGCTTTGGATTTTAGTTTGATGCAATCCCCTTTGTCTATTTTTGCTTTTGTTGCCTGTACTCTTGGTGTCATATCAGAAATTATTACCAAGGCCAACGGTAAGAAGCTCCTTCCCTTCTTCCCCCAGCGGTTTTCTTCTAGGAGTTTTATGGTTTCAAGTCTTATAAGTCTTTAATCCATTTTAAGTTGATTTGTGTGTGTGTTGTAAGAGTCCAGTTTCATTCATTTGTAAGTAAATAACCAGTTTTCCTCACATCATATATTAAAGAGACTATCCTTGGACATTTGTCAAAGGTCAGCTGATCATCTGTTGACCTTATATGTGTGGGTTTGTTTCTGGGCTCTCTGTTCTGTTCCTATGCCAGTACCATACTGTTTTGATTATTATAACTTTGTAATATAGTTTGAAATCACAACGTATGATGCCTTCAGCTTTGTTTTCTTACTTAAAATTCCTTTGGCTATTTAGGTTTTTTGTAATTCCATATGAATCTTAGGATTTTTTTTCTGTTTCTCTAAAAAATGTCATTGGGATTTTGATAGGGGTTAGCAATGAATCTGTAGATTACTTTGGGTAACACTGGCATTTAAACAATATTAATTCTTCCAATTTGTGAACATGGATATCCATCCATTAATTTGTCTCTGCTTTAATTTTTATTTATTTATTTATTTTTTGTAGTTTTCAGTGTACAGATATTTCACTCCTTCATTAAACATTCCTAAGTATCAGAGTAATTTTTAAAAATTAATACATTAATGCCACAAAAATGTTTTATAATTCTAAATGCTGACCATACATAGTACAAAATTCAAAAAACCTTTTTGGTGAATATAAATTTGTAGTTATAGTAGGAAGACACTAAATTTGCAGCAGCATTCTTTATGACTTTATTATTATCTTTTCATGAACCCACCAGTATTTTGTTGATGTGCTTTTAAAAAAAATTGAAAGGGTATAAGGTTTATTAACCTTCCCCCCTCACCCCTTGCCCCAAAATGTGGAACAGTAAACAGCTACTGAATAAGGGCTAGTTCGTAACTTGCAAGTTTCATTGCAGGGGACATGTTTTAATCAGCATTTCAGATAATTAAAGGAGTATAATTTTCCTTTTTCTCCTTTTTGGAAGAAATGGAATGAGCCCATGGGCAGTCACCAGACTGGAAGAGTTTTGTGTGTGTGTGCGCGCGCACGCACACGTGCGCGCACACATGCTAACGCACACACGCGCTGTGTTGAGGCATTGTGCAATCAGGCTAATTTCCTTACACTACATGTCAGGTTAGAAGGAGGAGTAGAGGAAGAAGCCAGATTCTCACTAACCCCTGGGCATTAGGGGGAACTATGGCACTTCCAAGAGGAAATGCTAAAAGTTGATGTCAGCTCCTGATATTGCTCTGGTCTTCGGCATATTTTTTCCAGGTCCTTATGTTCTCATTCCCAACCTGGGAAATGTGGTTGATGACAGGAGGGACAGCTGAAGTAGGGACCATCCTGGAAAACCTGTAGCTCACTTCTGAAAGTCCAGAAATTCCTTTTTCTTTCTGTTATTTACTTATAATATTCTACACTTCCTAACCAAAGGTGAGATTAAACTAACCAGGTAATTTGTATTAATATCTGTATAGATTTCTTTGAAACGATATGGGTGGTGGAGAAGTCCTAGAATAGAAAATATCAAAACCCCAGATATCACAGAAGGGGTGGTGTTCAAACCATCCTTATCCTTGGTGGTGGCTGGGTGGTAAGGAATGAAAAATAGTAAGGTGTCCGGATAAGGCGACAAAGGGACTCTTTATTCTTGGTTTACATAGAGTATATGGTAAATCTACTTGAGTGTGAGCTCAGCCTCCATATAGTCTGGATCCAAATTTTGTCCTATTACTATTTGACCTGGGGCTAGTTACATAACCTCTGCGTGCCTGTATTTCTAAATCCCTAAAGTGGAGTTAATATTAGTTCTTGCCTCATAGCGCTGTTGTGAGATTTTTATGAGACACATGTAAAAGCTGGAGCATAGTGCCCGATACACAGTAAGTGCTCAGTAAGTTTTACCTATTATTAAAGCACTTTAAAGTTGACAAACATTTCACCTACAGACCCTTTGAATGGGCTAAGCATGGGCAGGGGCGACAGTTCCAAGAGTGGAGATGGAGAAAAATGCATTTAGTACAACTGTCAGGGAGTGTACAGCCAAAGGCTGGAGGGAGAGGTGAGCCCTGTGTGCATGTTTGGGGAGGGTGCACGAGGGATGCGGGTGAGTCAGGGAAAGGCAGGACAAGACTCCCCTCCTTCCAGGGCACGCGCACGATCCCAGACGGTTATTAAATGACTTTCCAAGCATTCAGCTGATCCTCTAAATGAATGCCCAGTAAACATTTAAAGAATATTGGTTTGAGCCAAAGTATTAGTCTACCCTTGGCAACAACACGTGGGTAAGGCCCAGCTCGCACAACAAATGCCCATGCAGCGCCCTCATTACGTCCGTGCAGGCATCGTTCTCAGCGGTTTATGAGCATCAGCTCACTCAAAGACATCACATCACTGGGAAGTAGGTGCCCTTCACATTCTTTTCGCAGGAGGCTGCCCAAGGTCAGGCAGCCGGCGAGGGATGGGGCACAACCCGATCTGCACGTAGCGGCCCACAGCCTTCGCCTTGCGCCCACTTCGCTAGGGAGGGGGCCCCCGGAAGCTGCGCCCGCGGCCGCGCCGGGACGACGAGCTGTGGGCTGGGGGCGCGAGGGTTAGGCCGTCCCGGGTATCCCCCGCCAGCCCTGACTCCCCAGCGCGGGGGGCGTAGACCCAAGCGAGAACGTTCCGAAATCCTGGTGTGCAGTCGTAGGCGGAGAGAGCCCCCAGTCCGGCCGAGACCCCGCACCCAGCAGCTCGGCCGCCTAGAAATCCCCCACCGCCGCGGAATCGCGGGGTAGGGGTGCGCGCACAGACCAGACCGCACCGCAGCGCACGCGCACATGGGGGCGCACGCTCGCCCGCCGCCCAGGATGAAACGGAAGGCATGGAAAGTTCCAGCTGGTTCGAGAACCGTACGTAGCGCAGCAGCAGGGGCGGCGGCGGTGGGGTCGGAGGGGGCGTGTAGCTCCGGCTGGCCTCCCTCCGGGCCGAACCCACATTGCCTCCCACACGCAGTGGCTGCCGGGTTGGGCAGAGCTTGGGGTCCCGGCGGGGGCGGCGGGGCTGTCGAGGGGGCGCGGCACTGCCGCCTTAAGGAGGGGGCGTGGCGTGGGGC